TCTAGCAACTCACCTGCAGGGACCCGAATTTTCGGGATCGTTTTGCGCTTGAAGATAACCATGGCGGGGAGCTTGCGCCCGTCCGCGGTGATCCCGAGCATGACAGTCACCCTGTCCTTCTCGTAGCCTGCCTATCTGACGTGCACCGTCTTCTCTCCGCGGTGATGCAGGGTGCGCTCGTGCGGCATCTCCAGGAAAACGGGCGTCTGGTCGGCGTTTATAATGTTCCATGCGTCTATGCCATGCTTGATTATGTTCCTCCTCGTGAACACCCAGAACTTCTCACACTTCTGCTTGCACTCTGCCACGGACGCGGACAAGGTGGGAGAAGGACATTAGTGACGGCGGTGGGTTAAGCATTAGTGTTACATGTCGCCAAGCAAACTATACAAGCACACACACGGAGGGAAGCACAAGATAACTCACCCGATGCCATACGCTGACCCATCTTCGTCTTCACGCGGATGGAGAGGCCCAAACGCCGGCGGAAGCGGAAGGTCCACCTGTTGGACGCCATCCACCTCACATCAGGGTAATGCGCCTTCATGTAACACCGGCTCCAGTGCTTGATGAGACGAATAGGCACGGCCAAGGCACGTCCGCGGAAGTTCAGGAGCCGCTTGTAGGTATGCGCCTCCATGTCGGCATATTTCGCCTTTCTCCCTCCACCACTGAGTCGGCGCCTGGACGGTGCCGCCTTCTTAATCCGATCCGCCGCCCTTATCCACCGGCGGACGCTGACAGGCTGCACCCCGGCGAGACGTGCAGTGGCGCGGACAGAGAGCTTCTCATCGTCCATCCGCGCGAGCCATTCCTGCTTCTCACTCATGGTTCGCGCAGTGCGACAGTGGTTAGTCTTGCGGGCGCTGTGAACTGCTGGAGCACCGTCAACGTTGGAGCGAGGCCCGTTTTCGTTGTGGATCAAGTCATCCGGAAACGTAGGGACCTGGAAATCCCCGACGTCGTCTTCCATGTTCTCGTTCTCGGCATTCGTCTCATTCTCACCGTCCTCAGCGACGTGTTCAGGAAACCCCTCCTCCTCAAGTGGGTCCAAAGGAGGAGTGGTGCGCCAGTCAACGAAGCCCGGGGGAAGCACAGGGGGCGGAGGTGGCGCCGGAGGCGCAGGGGGTGCCGGAGGTGCGGGAGGAGCTGGAGGAGCTGGCGCGACCGGGCTTGTGATCAGTATGATTGCGGGCTGGCCAGACCCACTTCCTACCGCCATACTGCGAGAACGCCATGGGCTTTCGAAAGCCGACATGGCGAAGAGCTGATACAATTCTAACGACCTATGGTTCACTAAATGGCAGGCGCCATGGCGGGCTATTTAGATGGGTAGGAAGCTAGCCGGGCGGACAAGATCTGAAACAGAGGGAGGGAGGGGATGAAAGCTTGCGTGTACGGTAGAGAAAGGGACGTGAAACTCTAGTGCTTCACGTCCAGTACCCATTCTGCCACAGAGACATGATGGGGTGGTCAAGGGCCACCTGACGTGCCCATCTTAACGGAAACACTGTCGAGAGGATGTGAGGTGCGGGGCAAACGCCGTTCAGTCCGCCCCGTGCTCTGATTTTCGCCGCGTGTCATTCCCGATGATGCGCACGTGGGGCACCAAGCTAAAGATTCTCGCGCGAAAAATATAAGACCACCCCCCCCCCCCCCCCCCCCCCCTACCGAAATTGTACATGGTAAATCCATTAATGTAAATAGACAAATAAGTGTACCCCGGGTCTTAAAAATTTGCAACCGCCATAATGTCCACCCTAGCATTTTTTCCAGCATTTGTAGAGAGTCCCCCGGGTCCTATAGGTGGCACTTTATGGTAGGTGTTCCTTGATGGGATTAATAGTAACTATTTTTTACCTTGGTGATGGGTGTCATATGAAGAATTTAGTGTCAGCCTTTTATGGTATGATGAACAGTTAAAGTAGTAGGTAATGGCCGTGCGCATACAAACTGCTTCCCTAATTTTGACATTCTTTGACAAGAAGGCTTGTGCATTCGTGATTACAGGTTTACTTTGGGTGGCCTTATTCTGCAAATGGAGTAAGGAGTAACGGAGTGGCATTAACAAAAATTTACGCCAGAAAGCACGTTCACAATCGAGTTCCCTGACTCTAGAAACGCATCGACTCGCTAACGAACCTCTCTAATGCTGTTGACAGTTGGAGTCATGTTGTATGCCAGTCCAGGTGCGACAAATTAGCAGTCGCAACATGCTGACTGAGGAGTGAACTTCACCTGGGAGGTATCGGGCTGAAAATTTGTATTTCTTGAAAGAAAAGCTGAAATTTCATTACAAAAAATGATTCTGTTTTGTTTGCGCTAGTCGAGTTTAAGCGCCTTTTAAAACCCGACGAACCTGTGATAACACCGAGTTTTTTACGGGAAGCCAAAAAATCCCTAGGAGCAACACTAAACAGTACCCAAGTATTCTGTCCTTATTTGCCCACCTACCACTCTTGCTGCTCTGCGCCATCAGCTTCCACAAACCTTGAAGCAACGCGTTTCCTTGCCCCAAAACTCAACCCCCGCCAAACCCGCCAACACTCTCTTCCGCCCACGCAACACCCCAACAGATGCGCGCGCGCGCACCCTCTTAGCCATCTTCCCCCTTCCCTTGCGCACATTCTGTTTGCGCATTTTGATACTGTACTCATTGACCTCTGGTGCTGCTCCCCCCTCAACCCCCCTGCACAGTGCTTGCTCGTACACGTACACCTGCACTGTACATCCCCATCCCTCTTTCGTTCCCCCCATTCCCCGCTCCCCGCTTTACCACTTCCCCCTTTGCCCTTTTCCCTTACCAAATCCACCCCCCATCACTTTCCTCCCCCTTCCCCTCCCCCTAGCCAGCCAGCCATACCCTTCTGCCGACTCCCACAAACAACCATAGCCATTCCTTCTCGCGTGTTAGCTCTGTGTGATGTGCTGTGGTCCTCGCTCCGTATTCCCCTCTGAACATCCTCCCTTCAAATTCACATCTCCGACTAGTATCATCTTGTGAACTATCTCAAATCCTTCGCATTTCGTTTACGCTACAATTATTCTGGTCGTGCTTCAGTAGGAAGGTCCTCGTAGCTCGGTTAGTTTCACGATGGCTCGGTTCGTTGCCGTCGTAGCTCTGACTCTCATGCTGTGTCTCACCGTCGTTTCCGCGCGTCCCGACGGAGCGGCGGACCTGACAGCAGCCAAGGAGGCCCTGAGGAAGCAGGGCTCCTTCAAAACCTTCCTCAAGCTACTCAAAGACTCCGGTGCGTGTTCCCCTTGAGAGTTATCAAAAGCAAGGCCCCCTCAAAACTTTCCGCAAGCTGCTAAACGTTTCACGTGCGGTGTTCCCCTCCCCTTCACCAACAACGTCAGCATTCCCCCCCTTCTCTTCCGCACCACCCTTCCCTCCCGCGCAACTCCTCTCCGCAATCACTCCCCGCCCCGTCATTCTAACCCTAAGACTGCCGGCACCACTTCCTGTAGCTAGTTTACAAGCTCGTGCCATACGCCGCTTCCCCCCATTATGGCCGAACGGATTTATTTTGTTTTCTTTCCTCCCTTGCCACCGTCAGCTTTCCGCGGTTTCGTATCATTAGTTCCTCCTGGTGTGACCATACTTCTCCGTGTTTTGATGCGCCTCAAAAGTGGTTTCGTATCATTAGTTCCTCCTGGTGTGGTCATGTTTCTCCGTGTTACTAACTGATGTATTCCCCACCCTTTCCATTTTCCCCTTCCTCCACCGTCCACCCCCGCTTCTTCCCCTTCCCCCCTCCTTCCCCCCCCCCCCCCCACCCCCCCCCCCCCCCCCCCCGGCCCCCCTCTCTTTTCCCAACAGGCTTCGAGTCGATCCTCGCGCATTACGTGCAGACCCAGCCCGTGACGCTTCTGCTTTTGAGTCGTCTCAACTCGTTTTCCCTCGTTCCCCCCTTCCCTTGTTCCTTCCTGGTTTTCTTCCCCCTTTCCCTTGTTCCCCGCAACAGGCTTCGAGTCTATCCTCGCGCGATACGTGCAGACCCAGCCGGTGACTCTTCTCGTCCCCACCGATCGCGCGTTCGCAACCCTCCCGCTGCGCGTCAAGTCGCAGCTCTCCGGTTCGAAGCTCATCAAGCTCCTCGAATACCACATGATCCTGCAGAAGCTTCCCGTCGGTTTCCTCCGCCGCGCGCAGCCCGGAGCGCGCTTCCGCACGGTCTACGGCGTGCAACTCGTGAAGCAGAAGTCGGCTCTTAAGAACACGGTGATCTTCTCCCCGCCCGGCGCGAACGACGCAACGCAGATGGCGGTGGTTACCTGGGGAGACATCGCCGCGGCGAAGCTGATTCTGCTGTGCGTTCACGGCACTAACGGCGTGCTGCTGCCTCCTAACGTCTTCTTCTAAGCCGCCCTTATGCCCGAGGGGTGGTTAGGTTCGCTCAGGACGCGACCCGGCCACCCTCCCCTCCCCCCTCCCTCGTCTTCTTCCCGCTTGTTCTTTATCTTAGGATTTCCCTACTCCCTTCATAGCGTTTTCCGGTATCTGTTTTTTTTTTCGTTGATGTTTCTCCCTAATCGTGGCTCTGGCGCCGCCATTCCCCTTCATTATTACACTCAGTATTGTATACTGATATGTTGCCTTTTATACAGTACCACTGGATGTAAGAACTTGCAACACTAGTAAGCAAAATTTTGATTTTCTTGAAGGCAGGCAGGCAGCGGGTTTTTGCAGCATTGCTGCAGCTGCTTGTGTAACGTACCAGGTGCCTTAAGAAACAAAACTATTCTACTTGCCACCACTCAGGTTGCTGGCACCCGTCGAATGCCAGGCTGGGAAGCAGCCGACTGAATCAGCAGTGCAGTGCAGTGCTGTAGCATACGGACGGAGTAAGTGGGCGGCACTTTTTGTCATTTTGCCGGCACTCCCCCAACAAGACCATCTGAAGCCAGGCTGGGCGGCAGCGGCTTGCCGCTGCGGTGCTGTAACCGCTGGTGTAGCGTGTCAAGTAACTGGGCGGCAAACTTTCCCCCTCTCCCACTCATGTTGCCGGCACCCCCCCAACAAGACCATCTGAAGCCAGGCTGGGCGGCAGCGGCTTGCCGCTGCGGTGCTGTAACCGCTGGTGTAGCGTGTCGAGTAACTGGGCGGCAAACTCGGCGTCGACGCAGCCAATCAGAGTGGGGTCCTCTGCTGCTGTGACGTAGGTCGCTGTGACTGCTCCCTCCACCACCGATAGCACCACACCCGCCTGCAGAGGTGCATATAAGAAGGTGGAATGCAAATGAGAAGGCAGGAAGAGAGGAAGGGAGTTGAGGAAGAAATCAGGGTGAGATCCCCTGCTTGCCGTTGCGGTGCTGTAACCGCTGGTGTAACATGTCCACGCAGCCAATCAGAGTGGGGTCCTCTGCTACTGTGACGTAGGTCGCTGTGACTGCTCCCTCCACCACTGACAACACCCCACCCGCCTGTAGCAATGCACATGAGGAAACGGAAAGTGAACAAATGAGGAACACTGAGTGTGATTGTTTTGCATGTCGGTGGAGGGCAGAGGGAAGGAAGATATTCAAGAGGGTTTCCCTGCTGCTGTAACGTAGGTCGCTTTGACTGCCCCCTCCACCACCGATAGCACCACACCCGCCTGTAGCAATGCACATGAGAAGACGGAAAGGGAACGAATGAGGAACACTGAGTGTGATTGTTTTGCATGTCGGTGGAGGGCAGAGGGAAGGAAGATATTCAAGAGGGTTTCCCTGCTGCTGTAACGTAGGTCGCTTTGACTGCCCCCTCCACCACCGATAGCACCACTCCTGCCTGTGCATTGAGACACAAGCTGGTTTTTGAGAATTCTCAAAAACCAGGCAGAAAAGGAGTCTCCTGCCAAGTCTTTGAGACGAATTCAGTGGGCTCAAAAGAAGACGAAAGGAAACAGATGTGGCGCAAAGAAACAAACATTCACCTTCAAACCAGCACTCACCATTGCTGCTCCTGTCACAATCACTACTCCAATCACCATCACAACTGCACTCAACATCACTCAACCACCTCCTCCAACCAAACCAGCACTCACCATTGCTGCTCCTGTCACGATCACTGCTCCAACCACCACCACCAACTCTTGCGCCACCAACCAACCCCACACGCCGCTGCTGTCCCTGCCACCATCGCCGCCAGCATCACCACTATCACCACCGCACTCAGCCTCACTCAATTACCTCCTCCAACAAAACCAGCACTCCCACCACGCACCATTGCTGCTCCTGTGACGATCCCCATCGCTCCAACCACCACCACCAGCTCTTGAGCCACGAACCATCCCCACACGCCCAGAGTTACACCCACACAGATAGAACCACTCACCACCACACTCCACCTCCAAGTAAACCAGCACCCACCATTGCTGCTCCTGTGACGATCCCCATCGCTCCAATCACCACCACCAGCTCTTGAGCCACGAACCATCCCCACACGCCCGCTGCCGTCCCTGCCACCATCGCCGCCAGCATCACAGCCATCAGCAGCACTGCTCCTGAGAGGTCGTATGCTATCACTGCCTCCACGCCTGTCGACTGAAACAGCTCCCATGCATCGACGGATGACCGGTTGAAACTCCTCCCATACATTGCCAGCTGAGGGGCGGAGGGAATGGAGGGCGGGCAGGAAGGGGGTGCAGGGGGGGGGGGAAGAGAATGTGGCGTTAACAGCAGCAAAAGCAGCAGGGGCAGCGGCAGCAGCAGCAGCAGCAGCAGCAGCAGCAGCAGCAGCAGCAGCAGCAGCAGCAGCAGCAGCAGCAGCAGCAGCAGCAGCAGCAGCAGCAGCAGCAGCAGCAGCAGCAGCAGCAGCAGCAGCAGCAGCAGCAGCAGCAGCAGCAGCAGCAGCAGCAGCAGCAGCAGCAGCAGCAGCAGCAGCAGCAGCAGCAGCAGCAGCAGCAGCATCACGGCGATGAGCAGCACGGCTCCTGATAGGTTGTATGCTATGAATGCCTCCACGCCTGTGGATTGGAACAGCTCCCATGCATCGACTGAGGAGCGATTGAAACTCCTCCCATACATGGCAAGATGGAGGGGGGAGGGGAGGAGGCAGGCAGGGAGGCAAGGAGGGGAATCAGCAGCCGCAGCAGCAGCAGCAGCAGCAGGGGTGGCGCCAGCATCACAGCCATCAGCAGCACAGCCCCTGAGAGGTTCTACGCTATCACTGCCTCCACACCTGTCGACTGGAACAGCTCCCATGCCTCGACCGACGAGCGGTTGAAACTCCTCCCATAAATGAGGCGCCCAAAAATTGCGGCGCCCAAAAAATGAGCCATTGAAGCTGTTGCTGTGGATTGACAAATGGAGGAGGGAGGGCAAGTTGAAGGCGGTCGGCATTCTCACCGTGACAAAGCCGACCGCATTAATGGCACGGGTGAGAGCTTCGATGCAGTTGAATGCGAGGTTGCATTGGCTTGTACTGATTTTTTTTCTGAGCGTCCGGGTAAGAGCTTTCCAACTCACCGTGACAAAGCCGAAAGCATTGAAGGCCCGCGTGAGAGCCTCGATGAAGTTGAATGCGAGGTTAATGATAAAGAAGAAGCACTCGTTGGCTATGCACCACGCTCGCACGCCCCGGATCTAGAGTGGTACGAAGGGGTGAGAGGCAGGTAGGCAGAGCAGGTGGAGAGGGTGGGGTTGATGATGAAGAGGAAGCACTCGTTGGCTATGCACCAGTTGATTTTTGAGTCGACTAAAAAATCAACTCGCTATGCCACCAGGCGGGCACTCCCCGGATCTGATGTTTGTCCGGATATGCGGGAGAGGAGGCACGGGAGGGGAGAGGGGGGAAGGGATGGGAAGAGTGGGTGAAGTTGAGTGGAAGCGGGGTTGATGATGGAGAAGAAGCATTTGTTGGCTATGCCACCAGGCGCGCACTCGCTACCGATGCACCAGGCGCGCACTCCGCGGATCTGATGTGTGTGGGTGTGGGTGTGGGTGTGGGTGTGGGTGTGGGTGTGGGTGGCAGGGTGAAAGGGGGAACCAGGAGATAAGGGCGAGGTGAGGTGAGGGGGTTGATGATGGAGAAGAGGAAGCACTCGTTGGCTATGCACCATGCCCGCACCCCCCGGATCTAGAGTGGTACGAAGGGGTGAGAGGCAGGTAGGCAGAGCAGGTGGAGAGGGTGGGGTTGATGATGAAGAGGAAGCACTCGTTGCCTATGCACCATGCCCGCACTCCCCGGATCTAGTGCATGGGCGTAGGGCGCAAGGTGCAAGAGGAAGGGAGAGGCGGGCACAGAGGCAATTGAACGCTTTTGAGTCGACTCAAAAGTCAACTCGAGAGGCAGGCACATTTTTGAGTCGACTCAAAAGTCAACTCGAGAGGCAGGCACATTTTTGAGTCGACTCAAAAGTCAACTCGAGAGGCAGGCACATTTTTGAGTCGACTCAAAAGTCAACTCGAGAGGCAGGCACATTTTTGAGTCGACTCAAAAGTCAACTCGAGAGGTAGGCACAGAGGCAATTGAACGCGAGGTTGATGATGAAGAGGAAGCACTCGTTGCCTATGCACCATGCCCGCACGCCCCGGATCTAGAGTTTGGGTGGCATGGTGTTATGGGTACGAAAGGAGGGAGGGGAGAGGTAGCGACAGTTGGTGTAATGAGGGTGAGTTTGATTTGATGAAGAAAAAGAATTCGTTGGCAATGCACCATGCATGCATGCCCCGAAAAGGTCTTATCCAGAGAACTTTCAATCCTCACCATCCATCGCATCACTCGAATCGGAGGGCTGAAAAGCGATCCGTAGCAAATGCTCCCAAGGCCAATCAGAGCATGCCACGTGGCCTCCAGAGTGACACGCCCTGGCGCCAACTGGAACTGCTGAGGTGGCACCGCCGCACCTCCCCGTCCCTCCTCCGCTGCGGAAGCCGCCTCGCCCGCTGCTGCTGAGCTGGCGTTCTGCTCTGCTGAGCTGGCGGCGAACCACGCTGACATCACGCCAGCTGTCACCACGTGCACCATGTTGCAGAAAACCGCCGCCGTCCAGAATATGCTCATCGCGAAGAGCTGACGTGGCAGAGGGGGATTGGGCGGGCGGGCGGGTGGGTATGTCCAAAGTCAGACCAGGAGGAATAAATAACAGGCAGATTTCACCAGCGCTCCAGCTTAGCTTGGTCCTGCGCCATGATCCCAGACACACCCAACGTCCAGGGGCCTTTCATGTCGGCTCAAAGCCCCCCAACTCCCCTGCTTCCCTCTCTCAAATGGACTCACCAGCAGAATCCACCAGCGCTCCAGCTTAGCTTGGTCCTGCGCCATGATCCCTGACACGCCGAACGTCCACACGCCCTTTAGATTGACGCATCATCCCTCCCCCCCTACCCCCGCTCCTTGCTCCCCGCTCCTTGCTCCCCGCTCCTTGCTCCCCGCTCCTTGCTCCCCGCTCCTTGCTCCCCGCTCCTTGCTCCCCGCTCCTTGCTCCCCGCTCCCCGCTCTCCGCTCTCCGCTCTTCCACCCCACTAATGCCTCACCAGTAGAATCCACCATCGCTCCAGCTTCGCTTGGTCCTGCGCCATGATCCCTGACACGCCGAACGTCCAGACGCCCTTTGAATCGCCTCACAAGCCCCCTCCCACCCCACTATCTCCCCACCACTCCCCAATCCCTCCCCCAACAATTGAAACTCACCAGCAGAATCCACCATCTCTCCAGCTTCGTTTGGTCCAGTGCCATTATTCCAGACACGCTGAACGTCCACACGGCTCTTGAATCGCCTCACAAGTCCGCTCCCTCCCCACCCTCTCACTTTTGAGTCGACTCAAAAGTCAACAGACACGCCGAACGTCCACACGGCTCTTGAATCGCCTCACAAGTCCGCTCCCTCCCCCCCCTCTCACTTTTGAGTCGACTCAAAAGTCAACAGACACGCCGAACGTCCACACGGCTCTTGAATCGCCTCACAAGTCCGCTCCCTCCCCACCCTCTCACCCCACTCCCCCTTTCCTCCCCCCCCTCACAATTATGAAGCCTCACCAGTAATATCCACCACCGTTCCAGCTTCGCTTGGTCCTGCGCCATGATCCCTGACACTCCGAACGTCCACACGCCCATCCACGTGGCAAGAAGCAGCGCTGCCACGTGGGCGAAGAGGATCAGCAGCGGGAAACCCCTGGCGAATCCCAGAGCTCTACGCACAACCAACATGGTGTACGCAATTCTGGTGGGGATGGGGGGGAGGGGGGGAGGTAAGGGGAGGAGGGGGAGGAAGCGGGGGGGGAGAAGGCGCGGGTGAGGGGAGGGGGCGAAGAGGATCAGCAGCGGGAAGCCCTGGGCCAATCCCAGAGCTCTACGCACAACCAGCAAGGTGTACGCAATTCTGCAAGGGGGGTTTGGAGAGGAGGGGGAGAGGAGGGGAAGGGGCAAGGGGGGGGGGGGGGTACCAGAGAGAAGGAGGGGACAGGCAGGGAATGAAAGAGGAATCGTGCAAACTGCAACGTGGAATAAACACAAATTACAGTTTATACTCGCTTATACTTTCTCGTTACTAGCGCATAACATACACTCACCTATCCACCACCGCAATGGCGTATACGAATTGCAGCACAGCGCCTATAGCGAAGAAGATCCCCCAAAAGTACTCCTTATCCCAGAAGCAGAACACGCTAACTACGGCTATATACGTCGTCAGCACATGAACTACCACTTTAATCGCCATGTTAGTGTAGAAAAATAGTAGCTGCAGCAGTACCGTCCCCGCTGCTAGCGCCACCGCTGCTGCTACCATCAGAACCGGCCAGAACTCCTTCGTAGAGTGATCAACATTCTTGCTGCTACTGCTACTGCTACTACTGCTGGTGGTGGTGGTATTGCTAGGAGGCGGAATCGTCCACCGCGAACAACCGATCCGAACCGACGCGTATCCCGTGCCGACTAGGCATGCTACGAACAGAACCAGAAAAAGAAGGTCGTGCGGTCTCCGCGGTTTCCGGATCGACGGATCGAAGGACGGCAGCGACCGGCCGGCACGGAGGCCACTAGAAACGCGACTCGACGGGTGGGCGGAGTCTAGGGAATGGTGACTAAAAGGAGATGAAGATTCCCGGGCGGAAAAACCATGCGCGGAGGAAAACGAGTCTCGCGGGGAGAAAAACGTGTCCCCCGCAGCGTCGGAAGGGGGAGTGGCGGAGGGGGAAGCATCAGGGCGAGCTAGCGGTGGAACGGCCGCGGGGCCGCCGCCGCGCGTGGCAGGCGCGAAGGCGGACGGCGGAAGCGGGGAGATGGCGGAAGTGGAGGGGCGTTGCGGCGGCGCGATAACGATCACGGTGGGCGTTGCGCCTGGCGCGGTGGCGAGCGGAGCGGCGGCGGCGGCGGCGGCTGCGGCGTCGAGGCGCGACATGTGAGAGTTACCACCAGATGCGACCCCATATCTAACCCCTGCGGCTTGAGACGTGGCTCCAGACGCGGCTCGAGATGTCGGTGCGGGTACCGCCCCTCCAGGAACCGCAGGCGCGGCTGCTGATGGGACTGCTGACGGTGTGGATGACACGTAAGCGGCGGAGGGCGACGAGGACACGTTGCTGGCGGTTTGCTGAGAGCGTGACGTGGCGGATGACGACGAGTCTGACGTGGAGAATAAGTCGGTTAGACGCCAACCCATGGCGGGAATTAGATCGAGAAACTAGTGGAATTTAGTCAGAAATCGTGGTCGAGGAGAAATAAGGGTGCTTGCACTAAGTATAACCCGATTCCCGCCGAATGCGCATTGTACTAAGAAATAAGGGCTGGTGGTTTCTGTCTGTTAATAAAAGTAGCCTCAACATCGACCTATAGCCAGACTGCTTACTATCTACGTCTCGCAAAGGCCACCTAAAGACGTCTATATTCGGCTACTCCCGACGACGCGACGAGAAGCCTCACGATCAATCTATCGCCAAATCGCGACTACCACCTATGGATTGACGCGGAACGAGGCGTCTCGGGACTCAATGACTAGCCGCGAGACAGCTACCAACAAACAAATGGGTGAATCCATACGGCCATGTTAGCGACACGTGTATCTAATCGCGATTCGAGCCGCGCCGCTCCGCAGGTTGATCTCGTGATGGTGGCTGTGCAGTGAGGTGGAGTTAGCAACACAACCAAGGCGTGGACTAAGGAGTAGTCGCGATGCAAGGACCAGAAACAGAGAAACAATGAGCAGCCACTAAAGCGTGTCTGGTGAGTGTTGCTCTTAAAATAGTGCCTCGTGTCGATCTCTTCTTTCCTGTCAACTTATCACGGTTATGTTCGGTAAGCTACGGTCAAATGAGATTTCAATGACAACCATATGGTACCCATTGTAAATCAGGCGAACCGGACTAAACGATCTGCAGACGAACTCGTGTAGGCCACAGGCTGGCCTTTCCTAGCAGTCGTGCTGTGCTGTGCAGCCGTCAAACATTCAAGCACCTGTGTGCTGTAGATTATCGAGGCCGACAGATGGTAAAGATTGATCTGCTGCGTGCTGCAGTCGGGTTCGATTTCGTTCGAACCAGGCAGACTGGTTGACGCTTGGTTCGAACAGATTTTGGTACCAAGCCAGCAAGAACCGTTCTGTAACGTACAGAAACGCACATTATCGTATTTGAACAAAGAAGTTTGGTTGGCTGTCATAGTTTTGGACGGCTGAAATGGAGTTCCATTCCGTTCCGTACCTGATTCCCCCCTCAACTTGGAGGAAGAGCACACGAAAGTGTTCCGTATCATGGGTGACGTGTTCATGCATGCGAAACTGGAAAAGGTTATCCAATCACAGTCGGAATTTCCCGCTGGAAACCAATGTGAACAGACTGGCGTTACCTCAACCACGCCGTGATGATGTCATCATATGCTAGTGTATCAGATGCTTCGATAAACGTGGTTGAAGTGATTAAACATGCATACATGAGTAGTTCGTCCTGCCAAGGTTTCCGCAACCTACTTGGGTGTAAATTCATAAACCTTCATTTGGACAACCCGAACCCCCCTTCCCAGTCTGTCCCGCCTTCTAGCCACAGAAAGCATCGCGGGACGCTTCCCTAAAACTAGTCCTACACATCTTCCTTGGCGACTCTCTTCGTTTCAGCCTACAGCAAGCAGCCTCGCCGTAGAAAATCAGCGGACCCGATTCGCCTGTTTAACCGTTATTTCCCCGTTTTTGTACTCCCCGGATCGTTGTTGACGCATGGCGCGGAGCCGCAAGTCGCGGAAGGGGAAGAAGGAGTGGCGGCGGAACATCAGCACGGCGGACCACGACAAGTTCCTCGAGGAGAAGGGCCGCGACGAGCGCAGCGGCGGCGCGCTTGACGCCGTTCCCAGCGAAAACATCTTCTTCGTCGATAAGTCCAAAGGTAGTCCACGCATCTAGTCTAACTTTTAGAAAAAATAGGTGCCTCATAGTTACACCCGATGCCATTTCAGCGAAAACATCTTCTTCGTCGATAAGTCTAAAGGTATGGTGCTCGACCCCTCATCTCAACCACATCTTTTCCGCGCAATGTCCCGCCACTACCCTCGCCCACTCATCCCTCCCCCGCCACCCCTTTCTCGCGCTCTCCCCCGCTCCCTCTTTTCTTCGCCAGTTGCGCCTAAGCTGCGCGAGGTGGACAAATTGCGCGCGGATGAGTCGCATGTGGACGTTAAGCTAAAATGTATTTTGCCGCTTTCCACCCCTCCAAACCCCTTTGTCTCCTCACCTTCCCTTCCCCCTCCCCCGTCCAGTTGCGCCCAAGCTGCGCAAGGTGGACAAATGGCGCGCGCACGAGTCGCATGTGGACGTTAAGCTGAAATGTATTTTGCCGCTTTCCACCCCTCCAAACCCCTTTGTCTCCTCACCTTCCCTTCCCCCTACCCCCGTCCAGTTGCGCCCAAGCTGCGCAAGGTGGACAAGTGGCGCGCGCGCGAGTCACACGCTGACGCCATCCTTAAACGCAGCTCGCTCGTTCCGCCGCTCGTTCCCGAACCCTCCCCGGCGCGCGCCAAAAGCAGCGTTAAACCCTCCGAAAAACTCGCTGATAAACCCTCGGATAAACCCGCAAATGCATCTGCGGATAAGCCCGCGGATAGCGCTGGGGTTGCGCTGGCGCCCGCAGAAAGAGGGGGAGGGGGAGGGGGAGGGGCAGAGGAGAGTGGGGACGGCGGCGGAGGGGAAATCGTTGCAGCAGCAAGTGGGGAAGGGGCTATGGCTATCGTTCAGAGTGCCGGCACGAGTTCTGGCGGGAAAGAAATTGTTGCGGCGGATTCAGGGGTTGCAGGAGGAAAGAGGCGCGCCAAGAAGGTGCGAGAAGCAGGGTTTCGGGTTTTGCGTTTTGTGGTGATTAGGGTTCGCGCGATTCAAGATTTAAGTTTGTGTATGTAGGCAGGTTTAGAGATTTTCTTCAACGCTCGGATTTAAGGAAGTTTCGGGTTTTCTTCTTACTGAGTTGTGGGGTCGGGGTTGTGGGTTTTTGCAGGCAAGGAAGAACTCTCAGAAGCCACTTTTCGATCTGTGGGCGGATGAAGGTGAGAGGGAGGGGTGTGACGATGGGGAGTTGGGTGGGGTGAGGGAGGGAGGTGGATGCTGGGCGGGCAAGGCGGCCTTGGGGTTTTGGAGGCAGGAGAGGGGAATAATGGGATGATGGTGGTTGGATTAGGGGAGGAAGGAAGGGGAGGGGGATAATGGGATGGTGGTGGTTGGATTAGGGGAGGAAGGAAGGGGAGGGGGATAATGGGATGGTGGTGGTTGGATTAGGGGAGGAAGGAAGGGGAGGGGGATAATGGGATGGTGGTGGTTGGATTAGGGGAGGAAGGAAGGGGAGGGGGATAATGGGATGGTGGTGGTTGGATTAGGGGAGGAAGGAAGGGGAGGGGGATTATGGGGTGGTGGTGGAGGGGTGAGGGGAGGAAGGGGAGGGGGATTATGGGGTGGTGGTGGAGGGGTAAGGGGAGGAAGGGGAGGGGGATTATGGGGTGGTGGTGGAGGGGTGAGGGGAGGAATGGGAGGGGGTTTTGGGAAGGCGGTTATAGGAGGGTTTACCAGACGAAGTAGATGAGGAAGAGAGGCTTGAGTGAGGAAGGTTAGAGAGACAAAAGCGCGATGGTGGGAAAGAGATAATGGCAAGGCGGGTATAGGAGGGTTCACCGGACGAAGTAGATGAGGAAGAGAGGCTTGAGTGAGGAAGGTTAGGGAGACAAAAGCGCGATGGTGGGAAAGAGATAATGGCAAGGCGGGTACAGGAGGGTTTACCAGACGAAGTAGATGAGGAAGAGGGGCTTGAGTGAGGAAGGTTAGGGAGACAGTAGGGCGATGGTGGGAAGCGGGGATGATGGTGAGGGGATGATGGGGAGGGGATGATGGGGAGGGGTGAGAATGGGGTTGAGGAAGGGAGGCAGATTATGGGTTGACAATGCAAGATTGCTTCGCGTGCATGCGTGTGGTTATTGTATATGCGCGCTAGTTTTGAGGCGCCTCTAAACAAGATTGTTTCGCGTGCATGTGTGTGATTAATGTGTATGTGCGCTCATGTGGCAACACATTATAGGTTGACAAAACTGAAGTCGCTTTTGAGATTCCACAAAAGGGTTGGTTGGCACCTCTATTGATGTGATGTGACAAAACGCCAAGTGTGTGTGTGTGTGTGTGTGTGTGTGTGTGTGTGTGTGTGTGTGTGTGTGTGTGTGTGTGTGTGTGTGTGTGTGTGAGCGTGCGTGCGTGCGTGCGTGTGTGTGTGTGTGTGTGTGTGCGTGTGTGTGTGTGTGTGTGTAGCATGTGTGTTTGTTTATGCACCTTCGCATGTCTAACCGCCTGTTTATCGCGCACCATTCGTATTCGTATTGTGTAACAGATCTAGCTGGCAACCGCCGTGGTGTTCGCGCTACGGACAAGGCAACACCAGGGGGAGGAGGGGAGGTGGAAGAGCGAGTGAGGAGGAGAGGCGATGGGAAGATGATAGGCGGCAAGGAGGAGAGGAACAAGCCAGGGTCTTCGATTCCTGCAGTCGAGATTGACGCTCCTGGGTGCTCCTTCAACCCCTCTATCGAAGAGCATCAGGTACACTTGTGGCATTTTGTGTGGTAGGGGACGAGGAGGGGCGGTGGGGCAGAGAGTGAGGAGGGGCGATGGGAAGATGATAGGAGGCAAGGAGGAGAGGAACAAGCCAGGGTCTGCGATTCCTGCAGTCGAGATGGACGCCCCTGGCTGCTCCTTCAATCCTTCGATCGAAGAGCATCAGGTATTTATACATGTCACCCGGCTTCCAGTCAGTGTTTGCTGAGGAACAAGCCAGGGTCTGCGATCCCAGCAGTCGAGATCGACGCCCCTGGCTGCTCCTTCAACCCGTCTATCGAAGGGCATCAGGTGGGTTTCAGCGCTCTTAACTGGACAGCACCAGTGTTTGCCTGCTGAGGCATTCGAAGGGTCTGCCTTTCCTGCAGTCGAGATTGACGCCCCTGGCTGCTAGCTACCAGGCAGCACTGGCGCTCACACCCAGCCAGCTCCTTGGTTCTCCTCGCCCCCTGTCCTTTATCTTTTGCTTCCTCAGGATGCCATTGCAGTGGCAGTGGCGGAGGAGCTTAAAGAGAGCTACCAGGCAGCGCTGGCCCCCACACTGCCCCCTTTCATTCCACGTTTCATGGCCCTTGCTCTTCTCGTCTCAGGATGCCATCGCAGTGGCAGTGGCAGAGGAATTAAAGGAGAGCTACCAGGCAGCACTGGCGCCCACACTGCTTCCCTTCATTCCACCTTTGCCCTTGTTCCCCCCGTTTTTATTCCCCTCAGGATGCCATTGCAGTGGCAGTGGCGGAGGAATTAAAGGAGAGCTACCAGGCAGCACTGGCGCCCACACCGCCGCAGCTGATGGTGTCGCGGGCAGAGGAGGAGGAAGCACGGATGCAGGAGGCAGCGGTGAGAATGGGTGGTGTGGAATGTGGTGGGTTTGATCGCGGTGGAGTGAGGTACAGTGCAGTGGGTGTGGTGTGGTGTGGTGTGGTGTGGTGTGGTGTGGTGTGGGTAGTGCTCGCCCCCACACCGTCGCAGCTGATGGTGTCACGAGCAGAGGAGGAAGCACGGATGCAGGAGGCAGCGGTGAGTTTAAGGAGGTGGAGTGCGGTGGAGTGAGGTACAGTGCTATGGGTGTGGGTATTGTATGGGAAACACCAGGTAGTTCTTCTGGCACCCACACCACCCCAGAATGGGTTAGGGTGGCACGCGTTGAGGTTGAGTGCGGTGGAACAAGATACGGTGCAGTGGGTGTGTGGTTATTGTAGGCATTGGGACGAAAGTGGGGAAGAGGGGAGGGAGGGAAAAAATATTAATGCTCTGCTGCTGCATATATGCCTCCCCTCCCTCTCCTTTCCCCTTGCCTCCCCTTCCAAGTCACTTTGATATGCTGCTTCTTGCCTCTCTGCCTCCCCTCTCTCTCTCCTTCGCCCCTTCCCCTCCTTCCCTTCTCTTTCTCTTTCTCTTCTGTTGCTTCTTGCCTCTCTGCCTTCCTCCCCTCCCTCTACTTTTCCCTTGCATCTCCTTCCGAGGTGACTTATGAGGTAACTCAGAATCACTTTGATTCGTTGTTGCCTGCCTCTGTGCCCCGTCCCTCTCCGTTCCCCTTGCCTCCCCCTCCGAGTCACTTTGATATGCTGCTTCTTGCATCTCTGCCTTCCCTCTCTCTCCTTCGCCCCTTCCCCTCCTTCCCTTCTCTTTCTCCTTCTCGTATGTTCCGTGCCATCAGGATTTCTTTCTGACTCAAGGAGAGGAAGATGAAGAGGAGGAGGAGGAAGAGGAGGATGAGGATGGCAACACTGCTGCTGTCACCAAGTAAGCCGCCCTTTTCTCCCTTCCAAGTTGGCTTTTGAGTCGACTCAAAGGTCACCTCAGGATGGCAACACTGCTACAAATAACTTTTCAATGTAGAAACCGTGTGTAATGAGTCTGCTTTTGAGTCGACTCAAAACCGCGTGTAATGAGTCTGCTTTTGAGTCGACTCAAAAGTCACCTCAGGATGGCAACACTGCTGCTGTCACCAAGTAAGCCGCCCTTTTCTCCCTTCCAAGTTCTCACCTTCTTTCTATTTTACATCGTCTCCCTTTCTTTTCGGTTTGTCTGTACTACACTTGAAGTATTCATCTGTCCCTCATAACCCTCTTGTCCTTTACTCTGTTTGCGATTTCTTTGACACATACATCATCTAAGTGCTTCTTTTTTCCTTTTCTTCCCCTTTCTCACACTGTCTTCTCTTTTCCTTTTCTTTTCCCCCAACCAGACACAGAGTGCCCAGGCGCCTGACTCGAGCCGATCTGAATCGGCGCATGCGGCACCGACTGGTTTAAGCAGAAGTGAAGAAACGGTGAAGGCTGGATGGAGAGAGGATTGACCCGTCCCCTCTTGCCTTTCTCTCCTCCCCACCACCACCAGGCATAGGGTGCCCAAACGCTTGACTCAAGCCAATCTGAATCGGCGCATGCGGCACCGACTGGTGTAAGCAGAGGTGGAGAAGCGGTGAAGGCAGAACTAACTGGCAAAGCGGAGGAGGGTGGATGGAGAGAGGAGGTTCGACCCTCCCCCTCCCATTCTCTTTCGCCCCGTGTCCCCTCCCTCTTCCCCACCACCACCAGACAGAGTGCCCAAACGCCTCACCAGAGCCGATCTGAATCGGCGCATGCGACACAAATTGGTGGAAGCAGAACTGACGAGGAGGAGGAAACTGAATCCGATGGTTAACCCATTTCCTCTTGCCTTCCTTCCCCGCCTCACCACCACCAGGCACAGAGTGCCAAAGCGTCTCACCAGGGCGGATCTGAACCGGCGCATGCGGCACAAATTGGTGGAAGCAGAACTGGCAAAGCGGAGGAAACTGAAGGCGATGCGGAAGGATCTAGACCGGTTGAAGGATTTGCAGAGGGAGCTGGAGGAGGAGAGGGAGGAGGCGGAGAAGAGGAGGGTGAGGAGGGAGATTGCACGGGTGGAACTGAGGATGAAGCGAGCACCCAGGCTGGGGAGACATAAGTAAGTGCGTTGACTGCTTTGACTTCTTTGACCTGACCCTGTTGATTCAATTAGAAAAGGCGTGTGAGGAGGGAGATTGCACGATTGGATCCGAGGATGAAGAGGCCTCTGGGACTGGGGAGATGCGTTGACTTGCTTGACTGCATTGACCTTGCTAGAAGAGGCGCGTTAGGAGGGAGATTGCACGGGTGGAACTGAGGATGAAGCGAGCTCCGCGATTGGGACGACACAAGTGAGTGGATTGACTTTGTTGACTGAATTGACTGCATTGACCTTACTTGAAGAGGCGTGTGAGGAGGGAGATTGCACAGGTGGAACTGAGGATGAAGAGGGCACCGAGACTGGGACGGCATAAGTGAGTGTAAGGGAAGGGAAGGGAGGGATTGACTTGGTTGACCTGGTTGCCCAAACAAACGTCCTATTTGGTCAGGATGCAAATATCCAATTCAAGCCAGAGCCAATCAGTGTGTTCACATCAAGCGAGGCATTTGCATGAACCGTTTACCCTCATTCCCTCACCACGTACCCGTGCTGTGCTGTGTGTGTGTGTGTGTGTGTGTGCGTGTGTGCGTGCCCTTTGGTTCTGACCAGGTTCAAGCCAGAACCAATGAGTGTGCTCACGTCAGATCAAGTCACCGGGTCGCTCAGGCAACTTAAGGTAATATTTTCCTCTCTCTCTTGCCCACCCACGGTGTCGAGTGTGTTTAATTGATTCCTTGCATAGAAGCATGTATGCCTGGTTCTGAGGTGGCTTTTAAGTCAGAAGCCACCTCAGAACAAGCATGTATACATGCTTTCTGAGGTGACTCAAAAGTCACAAGCATGTATGCCTGGTTCTCTCCCCTCCCCAATACTCGCCTCCTGTCTTGATCCTACCTCACGCCTTTTCTTCCCTTCCCCTTCATTCCGCGTGGTGGTCTTCCACATATTTCTTCTTCTTCATTCTTCCCTTCCCCTTCCATTCCGCATATTTCTCCTCCCTCACTTTGCCTCCGCCTCTTCCTTCCCAAGGCTCCCCTCGTGTCTCGACTCCCCATCATGCATGTGCTTACCATGTTCCCTTGTGTGATAAGTCGATTTTTTACTCGACTCAAAAATCGACTTATCACATGCCTCGTGTCTCGATTCCTTATCATGCATTTCCTTTCCATGTTCCCTTCTTCTCTCGTCATCCCCAGGGCTTCTTTTCTTTTGTCCAGGAGTGACTTTTGAGTCGACTCAAAAGTCATCTCGTCATCCCCAGGGCTCCTTCTCTCTCGTCCATGAGTGCTTCAAGAGCGTTCAGAAGAGAGGGCTGATTGAGACTCACGGAGCATTTCCTTCTTGCGTCTCCTCGTGCTGCCATTCCCCCCTGCCAGGGCTCCTTCACTCTCGTTCGTGACCGCTTCAAGAGCTTTCAAAAGCGAGGGCTGATCGAGACTCACGGACCCACCATGTGAGTCTGAGTTTCTTTTCCCCAGCATCTGATAATTTTGTCTTGCACCATCTGAGGGTTTTTTCTTCTTCTTTTTCTTCTTTTTTTTTTTTTTTTTTTTTTTTTTTTTTTGCGGGCAAGAAGGGGAGGAATGGTAAGGAATGTGTGCGTTAAGATTCTTGAGGAGAATTTTGAGGTGTTTCAAAAGGAGAGGCACATGCTCAATATGTTTGATGCCATGCACTATTCTTTTTTCAGGTGTGTTTTGGGGCAATCAACTGGAATTAGAAACAGTTATTCACTTTGTTTGATGCGTTACAGCATTCGCTTGTACTCCCTTGATCCCTTTTCTTCCATTCTCCATCCCAACAGCAAGCAGTCCCTAACGAGGAAGAGGAGGGTGGTGGAGCAGGGCAATCGGGGAGCAAGGGAGCGGGAGATGCACGCTGAGATTTCAAGATCTAAAGCTTTCCTTTTCCTTCCCTTCCATCCCCTTGTGCTAACAGCAAGCAGTCTCTATCGAGGAAGCGCAGGGTGGTGGAGCAGGGCAGCCGGGGTGCGAGGGAGCGGGAGATGCATGCTGAAATACAAGCCATGCGGGCGGCAAGGCAGGAGACCAAGAAGGCTGCTGCCAAAGCTGCTGCGGAGTCCAGCAATCTCGAGTTGTAATTGCTTTTCGTGTCGAGCGTTCTGCGGCACACCTTGTAACGGGGATAAAGTGCGCATTTTTAGGAGCCACTAAGTGAGCTGCCAGAGCAGCATATTGATTTGAGTAAATCAGGCAGTGACTAAGGATGTTGTGAAGCTAGAAAGGTTCCCTGATTTTGTAAAGAGGTTGTGTGGTACTGTAGTTAAAGCAGGGAAAGGTGGGTGGAAATCGGAAAGTGGGAACGTGCAAAGAGATATGACCGTTTCATTGTGCGTTTCTGCTTATTGTATTCTGCTGTAGTTACACCCTGTTTCGTTTATCAACCTTTAATACCTTGCGAAGGAAATTTTTTTCTACGCGACTTCCATGCATTATTTACTTGGGGAACTTGGTGCCACTCAATTAGCCCTGCTAATGGGTTGACGAAAACGGGTATCGAATTTCCTCCCAAACTGTTACGAGTGCAATTGAGTGAGCGAACGAGAATTGCACTATCGAAGTAAGAATACAATGAGCGAAGGCATGAGCGAAGAATATATAGCGAAACTACAGTGGTAACGGTAATGGACTGTGGTTGTCGCGCGACGAGCCTGGGACTGAGGTTGGGAAAATGCCGAAGCGTAGGCCCGGAGCGCGGGTTACCCGCCGAGCCGTGAGGTCGGGATGCGATGTGCGAAAATGGCGGGATGATTGTCGATGCGATGATCGCGAGTGGTAACGGTGCTGACTGAGGTGCTACAGTGATGTACGCGTTGAGCGGGGATGCGAAGTAAGGAAAAAGGGATTTTCCTTACACTACCCCCCCTCCTAAGGAGGTCCCTCTTACGAAAGTGCGTGGACGTCTTTGAAGTTTCGGCTGCGCAGATACTCAGTGAGGACGGGGTGGTTTTCAATTCTGTCCAGGGGAACCCAGTTGTCCTCGGTAGGTGTTCGGTCCTTCCAGCGGATCAGGAACTCGATTTTTCGAGCTCCTCGGGGGTTGCGAACTCTGTGACTCAGGATCTTGTCGGGGGTGATGATTGGTTCGGATGGCGGTCGTGTCATGCTGGATGGTCGATGTCGTGGGAGTTGGCCGGCGGACGGTACGTAGGGGCGAAGCAAGGTGACGTGGAACGAGGGGCTGACGTACCAGTCAGCAGGGAGGAGGAGGTGTGCGGTGACGGGTGTAATCATGTGGCTAATTCGGAACGGCCCACAATATCGGGGGCGGAGCTTTGGAGTGACGGGCAGGCGGAGGTTTTGAGTGTCGAGTAAAACGAGGTCGTCGGGTTGATAAGTGACAGGTCTGCGGTGGCGGTCGGCGTTGCGTTTAGCGATGATGTTCGATTTCTTGATTGCTTCTGCTGCCCTGGTCCGTGCTGCTTGCAAAATCTCGATGAATTGTTGTGCACGGGGAACGGGGTTGTCGGGATTTGGGGTCATGGGTACTGTGGGGTCTTGTCCGTAATTCAGGTAAAACGGTGACTGTTGGGTCGTGGCGGATGGCGCGTTGTTGTATGCGAATTCGATGAGTGGAAACTGCTGTTCCCACGTGTTTGGGTCGTCGCACGTGGCCCTAATGAGCTGCTCCATGGTCTGGTTTGTCCGTTCTGTCTGTCCGTCAGTTTCGGGGTGATATGATGAACTGAACTGTAGTCGCGTGCCGAACTGTTGCCACAGGATCCGCCGGAAGTTGCTGGTAAACTTCGTGTCTCTGTCGGTGATCATCGATGCTGGTATCCCGTGCAGTCGAACGACGGTCGAGATGAAGAGGCGGGCTGTTTCCTCGGCTGTGATTGATTTCTTGCAGGCTGCGAAGTGTGCCATTTTCGTCAGTCGATCGACGACGACCAAGATCGCGTCATTCCCACTCGCCCCGGCCGGTAACCCCGTGACAAAGTCCATCGTCACTTGCTGCCAAGCACGCTCTGGGGGTGGGATCGGCTGCAATTGTCCCGCCGGCCGCTTCCTGGTTGACTTCATGATCTGGCAAGTGGGACACGACGCCACGTGTTGTTGCACGTCGGTCAACATTTCGGGCCAGTAATAATACCGCTGCAGCTGCTGCCGTGTTTTTTCTACTCCGAAATGTCTCGAGGTAACTCCGTCATGTGCATCCTGTAACAGTAATTCCCTTAGTAGTGTGTACCCTGGTACCCAGATGCGGTCGGTTCCAGCTTTTACGTAATAGACTCCCTTGGCTGCTGCGAATTGCCTCGAGTTTCCTCCTGTGAAGAATGGGTCTGTTTGATATCCGTGGGTAAATAGTCCTGTCATCACCGGACTGGTCTGGGCGAGTAGTATCGCATGGATCTGGGCAGTGGGGAGGGTCAGTGCGTCGGCGATATTCGAGGCTCCTTTTTTATAGGTGACTGTAATGGAAATTTGACTCGAGGAAATCGAGCCATCGAATCTGTCGTGGGTTGAGATGGGGTTGTGCACGGAGGTACTGTAGGGATCGGTGGTCTGTCCGTACTGTCACGTCTGCGCCGGTCAAGTAGCAGCGCCACACTTTGAATGCGTGCACGATCGCAAGCATTCCGCGGTCGTCTATCGGGTAATTTCGCTCAGGCGGATGCAGTTTGCGTGATTCGTAGGCGATGGGTTGGAGGCTGTTGCCGAAGTCCTGTAGCAGGATGGCTCCGATGGCGATGTCGCTCGCGTCTGTAACAACCTCGAAGGGGCGATGTGGGTCAGCGATGCGTAGGACGGGTGGTGAACAGAGAACAGTTTTCAGGGCAGAGAAGGCAGCATGCTCTTTCTCCCCCCACGTAAAAACAACCCCCTTACACAGTAAATCCGTGAGCGGGGCCGTTAAGCGCGCCATGTCGGGGACGAACCGACGGACGTAATTAACTAACCCTAAAAAACTCTGCAGTTCCGTGATGTTCGTCGGGGGAAGCCACGCTTTGACGGTATCCAACTTCTTAGGGTCGATTTCAACCCCAGCCTCCGAAATAACGTGTCCTAAAAAATCTAGCCTGTCCCGAAAAAACTCGCACTTGGAGCCCTTGGTGAGTAACCGATGGTCTGCGAAAATTTTAAAAACTGCTTCGAGATCGACTAAGTGCTGCTGCTTGTCGCGACTGTAAACGAGGATGTCGTCGAGGTAAACTATTACGCATTTATCTAAAAGGGGCCTAAACACCTCGTTCATGGTCATCTGAAATGTTGCGGGTGCGTTTGTCAGCCCGAATCTGGTGGTAACCCCCCCGTAAGTCTATTTTCGAAAATACCCGTGCTGTTCGCAGCTGGTCGATCAGTTCGTCGGCGCGGGGGATGGGGTACCGCGATTTGACTGTTACCCTGTTGAGCGCTCGGTAATCAATGCACATGCGAAATCCTCTGCCTTTTTTTGGTGTGAACAGTATCGGTGCGGCGAACGGTGACGAGCTCGGTCGGATAAACTGCTTCTCTAATAGGTAATCTATCTGCTTCCTTAGTTCGTCGAGCTCGGGCTGTGTCAGTCTGAACTGGCGTTGTACAGTTGGTTGTGCCCCCGGTTCTAACTCGATCCTATGGTCATGTGCCCGCTGAGGTGGCAGCCCTTGTGGTAAGTCATCGGGAAAAATCCCCGAGTACCGTTTCAACAGTTCCTGAAGTTCGGGCGGTACTGCTGCCAACAGTTTCTGGAAATCGCTCGGCTGCTCCTCTTTTCCTACTAATGCTATACCTACTGCGTACACGTCAGCTCCCGCGGCGACAACTCGTTTCATCGTGATGGCGTTGACGTGGACCGTTGAAGACTCGGGCGACTGCCAGCGAGGTAATTGGACCCAGTTACCATTACTTCGCATGGTGCAGCTACCCGTCGTCCAGTCGATTCGCGGGTTATACCGTCGCAGCCAATCACGTCCTAATAAAATGTCGTGCCCATCCAGTGTCGTTGCAAGCATTTCCTGTGTAAATCCGAAGTTTCCCCCGCAGCGGACTTTTACTCGCTCCACCTTTTCCCGTATGGCCAGTGGCGTGCCGTCGACTAAGTGCGCGTCTATCTCAGGTAAGCAACGGTTAAGTGTTAACTGCAGTTTCCGTGCTGTCGCGGTATTAACTAAACTGTGGCTTGCTCCTCCGTCAATAAAAATCTTGACTGCTGCTCCCTGTATTTTCCCGTAGATCAGTACTGGGCAATCCGTCGCTGTACCCTCCTTATTCATCCGAACCCGATCGATGGCGTGAATCGGTACTGTGACTCGGTGAGGGTCGGTGTGGTTGGGCGAGCAGGCAGTCTCGTCAGTAGTTGGCCCAACTTCTACTGACTGCTGGCGTTTCCCTACCTCTGAGACTCCCTCCCCTGCTCTGCTCCGCGGCGTCTCAGCTCCTCTGGGCACTCGCTCTTGCGGTGGCCCGGCCTGTTGCAAGCAAAGCAGCGCCCCTTAAACGGTGCGGCAGCTGCATTCGTCGCAACGGCGTGTACTGTGGCGTGCTCGGTCGGTCCCCGAGGACGATGTCCGTAGTAGGACCCCGGTCTCGGTCGGCGTAGGATGTCGATTTTCTCGGCGAGCGCGAGAATCTCGTTGAAGTTCGAGAGTCCGCGCAACATTATTTCGTGCAAGATATCCGGCTTCAGCCCTCCGACGTAACGGTCTGTTGAACAAGAATGAATGAACTAGCAGTGAAATGAGTACAAGTAGGAAACCCTAGAATTGTGTACCCCCTATAGGCTAACCCACTGTAGCCTAAACAACTACAACATATATATATTATGTTTGACACACCCTCATAGGCGAAGTGGGGGAGAACTAGGGGTCACAAGACCAGTCAAGTAAAGCAAAGCAAAGCAAGCTCAGGGTGGATCACAAAGTCACCACACGTTCCGAGC